CCCCAAAACCCCAAAACCCCAAAACCCCAAAACCCCATAAGAGCAATTTTAGGCTGATTTTAGCTAATTTTGTTCGTAAAATAATCTTCTCCCAGATGGCAACTGGGAACTCCTTGCAGAGGTTGAGAATTTGACTGTCTCATTGTTAGTCTTAAAAGGATTTGCAGGAGAATGCCCTCTTCTCAGTGTATTCCTATCATAATTCTCTGCGCCATCCTTGGTATTTCATTGTGAAGAGAGTGTCGGATAGCACCTGGATCCTTGCAGATTATTGTAAGCATTCTCCTTCAGAGAAGATTTCTGAGATAAATATTCTGCCCTTTTCTGAGCATCATTGGCAATCACAATCGCCTTATGCAGCTCTTCTTTGAGGTAAGAGATGCAACTAACCATCTGTTGGTTTTGAGTATTTAACAAATTGATTTGTTCCTTGTAAGAATTGACCGTCATTATACTCTTGTTGAACTCCATCAAATCTTTGGTGCCCATAGAAGAAGACAAAGGAGTAGCCCGACTCCTAGAGCTCTCAATTGGACAGTTAACCATATCTATATTACTAATATTCTGCAATGGAGTTGGACACAGCTTTGGCTTAGTCCCTGTCTTTTGGCTACTGTACGAACATTTCCTACTAGATAAACCTGTCTTGTTGGACATCCTTCCGCTCCAGTAATTGCTCAGGTTTTGGCTGCCTTGAGGGCTTTGCCTCGTTGGCAAATGAGTTAGAACTTTAGCACGTGTTTTAGGAGACAACGAAGTTCTTGATGGACCAATAGGCGACTTTGAGTGATTATGATGCGGATGAGGTGTAGTATAAGGGTTTCTAGATGTCTTTCAAGCATCTGGTGATTGGAATAAAGAAGCTAAACTTCCTTGCTTAAGAAAAGATTTCTGTATTGTAATGGCGCTTGTGTTCAAATCTATATTTTTCGTAAGAATTTGAAAGATTAAGAGTATAAAGTAGGATGAGCCATACCTATACCAGATGTTCTATTTCTTGTTCTTGGACTTGGAGAACACTTAAATTTTTCCCTCTTTATCATCTGAAGGTCTTTTTCTTTAGTGTAATGGTTAGATAATTCTTTGGACTTCTGAGATCTTTTAGGACTTCATCTAACATGCTGAACTTCACTAATTCTGCCAACTGGCTTCTGGTTGTCTCCAGAAGGAATTTTCAATGGACTAAAGACAGGTTTTAAACGCTTTTCAGGAACTTGCTTGGATGGTGAGGGACTGAACTCAGACTCGTCACAATGATGATCACAAAGAGTCCCGATAGAATCCTTGATAACTCTTGGCTGTCTCACTAAGGTTTTATTGGTTATATTAGGTTCGAACTTCGGTTTAACTGTCTCAATTGATTGCCAATTTGCATAATCTTTAGCATTCAAATTGACAAATTTTGAAAACATTTCAGAATCATCTTCGATTGAATTGGTGAGATCAATATTTGCAAGCTTGATCTTCTTATCTTTGGACTCGATAGATGCTTGATACCTTCTTCTCTGAGTCCTCCTCCCATTTTGATAATTTTCAATAATAGATGACTCTACAGAGGCATCGTTACTGTTTGGAGTGAACTTAATCACTGTAACTTCGTCTTCTTGAAGGTTTTGTCATGGAATATAAGCTTCAGGGCGGCTGGATACTCGAATCTCAGCATCTGAGTTCTCCAAATCTTCCTTCTCAATGATGCTATATTCATCAATAATATCTTTGAAAGTATTCTGAGTTCGTGTTCAAAGTATAAAATTTGGATTAGAATTATCAACTGAATTTTTAGCTCAAACGACTTCATCAGAATCAGGCATGCTACTGAGTCTGAATTGTGGACATGAGACTTCTTCCTCTAAAGTATTTTCCTCAGAAGGTGGACTATTGCTCCTCAGCCTAACTTTTCTATTAGTATTCTTAGTCTGAACTGTATCAGAGCTAAACTTTACCTCGCTGGGAGACTTCATAGCACTCTGTTCATAAGAGTCTTCAGCTATTGGTTGGAAATCACTCTCATTCGTCGGTCTGAAATTGCTCTCAGTGTATTGTGAGTACCTATAATGGCCACTGCCATTACGTTCTTTCCTATGGCCAAAGCTAGCTTTATTCGACATGAGTTCACTGTTTTTGTCGCTCATGAACTTAGACTCTTCGATAACTTGTGAGCTCACATCGCTGCCTCCTTCAGCGATAGTGAACAACTTGTTGTTCCTACAGCCAGGCGTATCTTCATCATCGTAGATATAAATTTTATCTTTGTTTTCGTTCATGATCATTTGAGTGAACATTTTAGTTTAACGAATATATTAACCAATTTGATTTAAAGCGTGTGGGGTTTTGGGGTTTTGGGGTTTTGGGG